TGGTGTTGTAGCCCCGTGAAGCCTCTCAAGATGCGAAAGTGCTTTATGGCCATCTATGCAGGGTATGTGGCGAATGCGTACTCAAAGTAGTCTGAAGCATCCCGCGCTCTGGCCAGCGCATCTCCCCGACTTAAGCCATGAAAGTTTCTTTCTAAGGTACTCAATTCCCTAACTCCCCATTCATTACGTACCCGCTCTCTTGGGAGTTCATACGAAACGCCACATGGGGCTTCGTATGCCGGGCTTTGAAGGGTGCCTCGTATCCTCAGAAGGGCAGAAACCAACACAAGGAGGCAATGCCCGGCGCTTAAAGCAAAACCGCAGCACCCAGCTCTCACAACACGGCAACAAAGAAGCTCAAGGTCTTTCATGCTCGCTACGAAGATCAACTTCCCTTTTGCTAAGTGCACACCACGTGCTCCCACAACTTGTCAGACCGACCTGTCATCAATCATGCAAGTCCTACCGCAGGAGCTTTGGTTATGATGATGGCTCGAAACATGTAGATTTAGAGTTGCGAAAGTGGTGTGACCACACTCCACCTGTCGCAAGCCCTACCGCACATGCATGCTCAGGTCATCATAAACCCTAAACCCTAAACCCTAAACCCTAAGCCCTAAGCCCTAAGCCCTAACAACCCCGAAGAAGAGGCAACATGAGGATCGGACTGGGCCACGTGAACCATGAACTCCATGAAAGATCCTTATAGGGTTTAGGGCGTAAACCCCCTAAACCCCCTAAACCCCCTAAACCGAAACCCCCTAAACCCCCTGAACCTAAACCCTCTAAACCCTCTAAACCCCCTAAACCCGCTAAACCCGCTAAACCCGCCAAACCCCCTAAACCCGCAAACCCCCAACATCCCCCAAGCCCCAAACCCCTAAACCCTAAACCCTAAACCCCTAACCCTAAAACCCTGAGCCCTAAACCCTAAACCCTGAACCCTATAACCCTGAACCCTAAACCCTAAACCCTAAACCTCTGGCCCTGCTCAGCCTCCTCCACTGCCAGCCAGCCTTCCCCGACGAACACCTCCGCCACCAGCTTCCCGACCTCCTCATTGGGGGGTTAGGGGTGGTTTAGGGTTTGGGGTTTAGGGTTTGGGGTTTAGGGTTTAGGGTTTAGGGTCTAGGGTTTAGGGTTTAGGGTTTAGGGTTTAATGTTTCGGATTGAAGGCTTTCGGGGGAGGGATTCTATACTAGGGTTGAGGGGCTTCGGGGACTTTAGGGGGTTGAGTCTCAGGGGTTCCGGGACGTAGGGGTTCAGGGACGTTGGGTTTGGGGATCTGGGGTGTTAAGTTGAGGGATTTCGGGTTCAGGGCTTGGGGTCTGAAACTCGGGTTCGGGTTGAGGGATTTAGGGGGCTCTGGGGGTCAGGGATCGGGCGCAGGCTTTGACCCTGAACAGCCCTTAATCACTGGAGCCTAAGCCTTGTAGAACCATTTGGGGGTCTCCCAAATTCGAGATACCTGCTTGGGGTCTTTGTTATAAGAAAAAATCCTACTATTTGGGGATCTATATTGGGGGGTCCCATACGAAACCCCCATATACAAGCCCTAAACCCTCATGTGAAGGGTGTCCCGGCTTTAGGGTTTCGGGTTTAGGCCTAAGGGCCTAGGGCTTAGGGTTTAGGATCTTGGGGGTTTTTTAGGGCTTCGGGCTCTTCTTGAAGGTTTTGATGGATGCTTGTCTGAAGTTCGGGCGGCACAGCACTGAGTTTGGAGCGTTCGGGTTCTGGATTTGGGTTAAGGGTGTCTACGGTCTAGGCTTGTGGCCTTTGGGTTACTAAAACCCTGAACTGCAGGGCTTTAAGCTTAGTTGTCCAGTACCTAGGGGTTTTGAAGCTTAACCTTTGGGATTACAAGGGGAATATATTAACCCAAAAAGGTTAAAGGTTACCTACTCTACTACTAAGTAAGGGTCTGTAGGGTCTACAGGGTGCCCGCAGCCTGCACACCTCGCCGCCAGCAGAGACGCACGCCATCCTTCCCAAAGGGCCTCACCTCCAGCGACAAGGCCGAGGAGGTGTGCGGCGTGTCCGGGCTGTCGTCTGAAGCACCAGGAGCCATCGCGTGGTTTGGGGTTGGGGTTTAGGGTTTAGGGTTTAGGGTTTAGGGTTTAGGGTTTAGGGTTTAGGGCTTCGGGCTTAGGGTTCAGGGTTCAGGGTTCGGGGTTTGGGGTTTGGGGTTTAGGGTTTAGGGTTTAGGGTTTAGGGCTTCGGGCTTAGGGTTCAGGGTTCAGGGTTCGGGGTTTGGGGTTTGGGGTTTGGGGTTTGGGGTTTGGGGTTTGGGGTGTGGCATAGTCAGGGCCCCATACATATGCATCCAAGCTTATTCAGCAGACTGCAAGCCTGAAGCATCAAACGCCAACATTGCTTGCAGCCATTGCCCCACTGCAACTCTATAAATTCTCTCTAGTCCCCCTATCAACCCCAAACCCAAAACCCTAAATCCTAAAGGGGGTCCAGGTTTTTTTTCGTGTTTTTTCTGGTTTTTTTTTTCGTATTTTCATGGTCTTGGGTTAGGGTTTAGGGTTTAGGGTTTAGGGTTTAGGGTTTAGGGTTAGGGTTTAGGGTTTTTAGGGTTTTTAGGGTTTTTAGGGTTTTTAGGGTTTTTAGGGTTTTTAGGGTTTTTAGGGTTTTTAGGGTTTTTGGGGTTTTTAGGGTTTTTAGGGTTTTTGGGGTTTTTAGGGTTTTTAGGGTTTTTAGGGTTTTTAGGGTTTTTAGGGTTTTTAGGGTTTTTAGGGTTTTTAGGGTTTTTAGGGTTTTTAGGGTATTTAGGGTATTTAGGGCTTTTAGGGCTTTTAGGGTTTTTAGGGTTTTTAGGGTTTTTAGGGTTTTTAGGGTTTTTAGTGGGGTTTTTAGGGTTTTTGGGGCTTTTAGGGCTTTTAGGGTTTTTAGGGCTTTTAGGGCTTTTAGGGTTTTTAGGGTTTTTAGGGTTTTTAGGGTTTTTAGGGTTTTTAGGGTTTTTAGGGTTTTTAGGGTTTTTAGGGTTTTTAGGGCTTTTAGGGCTTTTAGGGCTTTTAGGGCTTTTAGGGTTTTTAGGGTTTAGGGTTTAGGGTTTAGGGTTTAGGGTTTAGGGTTCACCTGAAACCATAAAAAATACGAAAAAATAAACAGAAAAAATTACAAAAGGACCCCTGCACCCCTAAAACCCTGTTTTTGCCCGAAACCCTTAAACCCGAAACCCTAAAGCCCTAAACCCTACGTCTATGTAGGGTTTGGGTTTAGGGTTCGAAGCCTTCTCATCACGTGATCTCACCACACTAGCCCCAGGTCTGTGTAGGGTTTAGGGTTCGGGGTTTAGAGTTTGGGGTTTAGGGTTTAGGGTTTAGGCTTTGGGGTGTGTAGCGGGTTTACGGTGCGCTGCGCGGCCGTTTTGCCATGACCCTCTTGCACCGGAATTCGAGTCGGGTGTGTGGCAGAATCCTGGCCTAGGTCCTAGGGTTTAGCGTTTAGGGTTTAGGGTGGGTTAAGGGTTTAGGGTTTAGGGTTTAGGGTTTGGGGTTTAGGGTCAAGGGTTTGGGGCAGAAGCCCAGACCGACGATTACTTTCAAACACCCGGGCTCCATCCTCCGCGACGAGGCCGGGCCGTTAGGAAGGGGCTGCGAAAAGAGGAATTAGGGCTTTAGGATTTAGGGTTTAGGGTTTAGGGTTGGCGGGCTTATGGCGGGGTGGGTGTCACTAGAAAGCCGCGTCTTGGGTCCATCAGCATTCGGCTTGGGAAAACCTCCAAACTTCAGAAACCTCTATAAACTCGCGTTGGTTTAGGATCATAGAAGCTCTCAACTTTTGAGGTTCCTAAGGGAAGCCCCCAAGTCCTACAAACCCCAGGCCCCGCATCCGCCGAGGTGGCACCCAGAACCTATCGCCTCACGGGGGCCCCCTCCTGGCGCGCGCGAGCCTTCCGCTGGGGAGGCTCGCGCGGCAAGAGGCAAGGCCGCACTCCGCCCCGGCTCGGAGTTTCTTCATGGGACTCTAAGTTGTACCCCTAAGGTGGGGATCCTGCTCAAAGATCCTCTGTAAGGGAGTGTTAAGGCCATACTGGGAGTAGAATAGGGGAACCTCTTAGGTATGAGCCTGAATCCCTTCATGGCCGTGATCCCAAAACCTGTCAACCTCAACGCCTACACACCTACACCTACACCCTAAACCCTAAACCCTAAACCCTAGACCCTAACCTTAACCCTAAACCCTATACACACCCCAAACTTCGGATTCTGAGCCCAAGACCCTCTAAGACCCTCCCGGAGTTCGGCCAGGGTCCATGTGGGTTCAGGGCTTTCAAAGGGTGGAGGGCTCAGTGTTTAGGGTTTAGGGTTTAGGGCTTAGGGTTTAGGGCTTTAGGGCTTAAGAGAAGCTCTAAACAAAGTTGAACCCAAAACCGGCGGCACAATCAAAAAAACTGTACATAGCGCAAGCCCTTCCTCCGCTTCGCGGAGCCAAGACGTCAAAGGACCGAAGACCAGCAAGGGTCACTCTCTTGCAGCTCAGGTTTAGAGTTTGGGGCTTTCGGGGTTTAGGGGGGTTGAGGGGTTAAGGGGGATTTAGAGGGGTTCAGGGGTTTAGGGGTTTGCGGGTTTAGGGCGGTTTAGGGTGCAGGGGCTTTGGGGTTTTGATGTTTAGGGGGTTTAGGGGGTTCAGTGGGTTGTGAAGGACTTGAAAGGGTTTAGGGTTATGCGTCCCATCCTCATCTCGGAACCCCAAACTAAACTCTGAAGAGGTCTTTTTGCTTCCAGCTTCCAGTAAAGAGTTGAGGGTTCAGGGGTTCAGGGGTTTTGGGTTCAGGTTTGAAGGTTTAGGGCTTAAGGTTCAGGTTTAGGGCTTGGGGGCCCCATAAGACTTTTCAGAAAGGGTTTAGGGTTTAAGGTTTAGGGGATAGACTGGGTCCATTGATTGTATCCCCGAAAGGACACCCAATATATGGAACCATATAAGGTGCCGCGTTGCCCCTAAACCTCAAACCAAAAATCTATTCCCACAACCACCACCACCCACCACCACCACGACCACCACCACCACCACCACCACACGGGGTCCACAAAGCGGGCCCCGACCATCCGCGACCACGCTGCACCCATAACACTCACCAACATTTTTCCAGAACCATGTACACACTCCTCA